AATATTGGCCAGTAACGTGGCGTTGTTATGTAACGTGTTGTATAAACAACAACACTGTTTTGAGCAGCCTCTCTCTGCGTAGGGATTTTTTGTCGGCTGGGTGGCGATTGCTGCCACTTTTGCTGGTAGCATTGCTACCAGAACCAACGCTGAATGGGCGCCAAGTTTGGGGATACATCACTTATGAAGCTGTGGACCGCGGTATGTGTTCGTGGTGGTTGGCCGTAGGGCGGTGCCCGGAACTGAGGCCATTGATTTAGCGACAGGGTTCGTCAGAGTAGCAGAGCAAGCCCAAGGGGAAAGCCCAAGTTGCGAGGGAGGACTGACCTTATGCCCTCCACCTGCCTCACTGAAAAGGAAACTGCACCCATATCCAGACTCTGTTTTGTGCCTCAACTTCCCCAGGAGATTCGTGACGCCGCTGAAAATCTTGCATCCGATCCGGTCTTAATTCATTAATTCGTGGTGGCTTGTTTGGTCCAATCCACCATTTACAGATCTATCGCATCTGTGAAATTCTTAACCGCCAGCCATCTTCACCGCGGTCAAGGCGAGGCTGCGAGACTGTTATCGCTGAGCGTCCGTTTTTTTTACTGGACTTCAGCGCTCAGCTGTGGCAATATGGTGCAGACGCGCAGATGCCACACGTGGAAGAGAGCGCCCTATTCTAAGAGCGCGAGCTTGTTTTCCTCAGACACTTGCGACTGCCGAATGCATGCGACCAGTGCGGAAGATGTTTTTATAGGCTCGAATTCCAAATGCGAATGAAATGATTGCCAATACCCGACAGGCGCAGGCCTGCAGACCCTCCCTCGAGGGGGGCTTTCTTTTCATGAGACCCTCCCTCGGGGGCTATTATCACCTCATCCGAACGGCCTTCCTCGAGGGGCTGGGGCCTCTCGGGCCTTCCTCGAGGGGCCTCATCTCCGAACGGCCCTCCGAGCGACCTTCTTCGAGGGGCCTCATTTTATCAGAGCGGGCTCATCTCACCAGAGGGTGTTCTCATCTCATCAGAGCGGCCTCCATCGAGGGACGTTCCCATCTCACCCAATACTTTGCGTTTAAACTGCGCCAGTTTGGTGCTTTTCGCGCAACTTCCTCGTTCTTGTGGCGCCAAAAGCCCCTTTACATTCGTCACTCGATTCAAAGAGGTGCACATAGTGTGTAAATTCGTGTAATAGTGCCGGAGTGAGACATGACAACATTCTCAGTTGCATGACAAACCCTTCCGAAAATTGGCAACATCACATACACCCAATATTTGTGATTCAACGTCTCAACGTCATACCATGTGCAGCCCGAAACAAGCCCACTGATGACGCGTTCCAGACGCATCCTACGTCCTGGGCCGTAGAAAGCGTCTGAAACGCATCATCAGCAATCCACACAGTATCTTAGCATCTGGCGGCAATTTGCTGCGCGGCTTATTCTTACTTGTCCCCCCCCCCCCCAAGATGTCCAGCTCACAACAAAGGTGTTTCTGATATAAACTTTCCCTCGCTCAAAGATGAAAAACTGGTGAAGCCAGCAGACCACTTCACGGGTGTTGAGTTTGTGCAATCCGGCGCGTGCCAATCCGGCTCTCTGGCTCTCTGGCCTCTCTCCAGTCCGGCAATCGTCCGCCAATCCGGCTTTTTGAAAGTCCCGAATCCTCTCAGGTGCGGAGCGGCATGGTAAAAAATGTCCTTTTAGAGCCAGCACTCATTAGCCGTCATTTCCTTTGCTTCCGTTATCATGAATAGAAAAATTCAGCACATTTAAGCATACTCATTTGCCTCTTCTAAACAAATTTAATGCAGGTGTTTGGCTTGGCTAGCAAAAACGGCATTCTGTAGGTCAGTTTGAAACAGTATGACTGGTTGCAAGAATCAACTGATACTATTTGATCAGCTTCTTTTTCAACGTGGCTTGCACGGAAATATATCTCAGCGTGCGTCTCGGACATAAACCAGACATTCCAAACCTCGTACACATTACTAGGACCGTGAATTTTCTACCATAGTGCAGCTCTAGTAAACAGAACAAATAATGCATTGATAAACTGAACAGCATCAAGAAGATGGCCATGCTCCGCATTTCAAGATTGCTGCTTAGACAACAGTCGGTTATTCAAGAATATTGGCGTCGTTATTATGCTGAAATTACTTTCTGCATTCCTTAGAGAGCTGCTAGAAACGTGCGTGCAGGCCTTAGGATAATTTCTGAACATTGCATAAAGTCACAGACCTCACAGACACATCATGGAAAAATGAATAGGAATGCAGCATTCCTTTGGTACATTCCTTCCTACTTGGTAGGTTAGGTTAGGTTAGGTTAGGTTAGGTTAGGTTAGGTTAGGTTAGGTTAGGTTAGGTTAGGTTAGGTTAGGTTAGGTTAGGTTAGGTTAGGTTAGGTTAGGTTAGGTTAGGTAGGTTTGGTTAGGTTAGGTTTGGTTGGGTTAGGTCAGGTCAGGTCAGGTCAGGTCAGGTTAGGTTAGGTGAGGTGAGGTGAGGTGAGGTGAGGTGAGGCGAGGTTAGGTGAGTTTAGGTTAGGTTAGGTTAAGTTAAATTAGGTTAGGTTAGGTTTGGAGTCCAAATGCTGCTTGGCCAAATCAACGCCAAGGACCACATATCGTGGGACTTTTAGGCCAAATCGACACGTGAGGCCATCCGTTCCGCGGCTTCTCGGCTAACCGGCTGCGGTCGGCCGGGCTGACCTCTCAGCCTTCGGCAGTCTCCCGCGTCCCGTCGGCAGTCTCCCGCGCCCTGTTCTGGGCTGCCGAGTGACCCGATGACCTGCCGCCGCTTGCCGGCCGGATGCCCCCTCAGGCTCCTACCCGGCGGTGTGGCGGTGGGACGTCTGCTTCCCAGGACCGGAGGCTGGCTGTGGTGGCGGCCATGCGGTGATTGCCACCTTAGGTCGTGGGCTGCCGTCCCGGCCTCTAGTGCCGCCGTCAGGTCATCGTCTGCCGTTACGCAGTTCGATGCTGAAATTACGTGACCGCGCTCGTATTTGCTCGTTTCCTGCTTACTGATGACAGCTGCTGAAAGCGGCACCGCTTAAAGCGTCAACACTATATGTAATTCAATATCCAGCGGTGCTACAACAGAACCAGCTCACGTAGACATGGGTCAAGACTGCGTCGTTCGACACCACCGTCCTTGAGCCCACTATCCGCTATCAAATGCAGTTCCTTTCTGTGAATAAATGCGTTTGTTTCCATCGCATTTAGACCGCACTGAAGCGCCGCATTACCATAATCACTGTCATCGTTATTATCAGTATCTTTCGGTTGCCTGTATTTGGCAACAGCTCGTAACAATATGAGCTTCTAGGCAGCGTGGCGGTCTCGCGGGGCTGAAGCCTCCAGGTGAATTCTCCCGCTTTTTACATCAGACCAGCCCGGTCTGCGGCGACGCTCGTGGTGCATTGCAAACGAGTTTTCAATACGGCTGTGGAATATTCCCCGCCGCCATGGCGAGCATAAGCACCGATTTGCCAATTCGCTTTCGTAGCCATCCACAATAAACGCTCGGCTGAGTAAATATGCGTGTTGTTGCCGTGGCGAGTGTTCTGGGAAGCCCAACTTTGTGTGTTTGGCGGCAGATGTCGCCGACGTGAGGTGGCCGCTCGTAGAACTACTCTGCAGAGACAGGTCACGTGAGTGTCACGTATGGAGCATAAACACGCCCGTTAGTTGTGGCTATAGTTAACTATTACACTTCACTGTTACAGTGAACTGTAACAGCTAACCACTAAAATTTTAAGGGTATGTTCCACATCTGTATGGGGTCTCGAACTGAACTAGCCGCGTTGAAGATATTGCGATGCAACTCACGGTTATGCCCTTCGTATATTTGAAACCCTCTGGTTCATGAGTTTAAGGTCCGCAACGACGTGGGACAACATTTCAAGATAAACTTGCCATCCGTGACTTCAAAATAGCGTCATTTAAATCCTGTCATTCCGTAAGCCACGCGACGAGCAAGGCAAGAACAAAATGGTCATTCATATCTGGTGTTCGTGAGCACGATTCCCAGATATGATGACCATCAACTGGCTCTCATTCAATGTTGTTGTGCAAGGTACGATGACGTAACCAAACAATAAGGCATCGAGGAGCACCCAACTTAACAGAGAAGTTGGTTGTCTGGAACAGTCTTTTCCACTTACAAGTATCCCAATAGTAATAAATGAGCTTGCTTCCTCATATCTGATGCTTGCTTTAATATCTTCAAATGTGAAACATTCCCTTTAACTGTTACAGCAGCCTGCGGCAGCAAACTTACCACGAACTGCTCCAGTTAACTGTTACAGTAAAATGTTACGACAAACTGTTCCGATATCTGAACCTCATCGTCTATGGATATCGTCTATAGCTCCGTCTGCATATGCAGTGGATACATGTTCCCACGGCGTCATTTACATCTCTCTCTCTCTCTCTCTCTCTCTCTCTCTCTCTCTCTCTCTCTCTCTCTCTCTCTCTCTCTCTCTCTCTCTCTCTCTCTCTCTCTCCTCTCTCTCTCTCTCTCTCTCCTCTCCTCTCTCTCTTCTCTCTCTCTCTCTTCTTCGCTCTCTCTCTCTCCTCTCTCTCTCTCTCTTCCTCTCTCTCTCTCTTCTCTCCTCTCTCTCTCTCTATCTCTCTCTCTCTCTCTCCTCTCTCTCTCTCTCTCTCCTATCTCCTCTCTCTCTTCTCTCTCTTCTCTCTCTCTCTCTCTCTCTCTCTCTCTCTCTCGTCTCTCTCTCTCTCTCTTCTCTCTCTCTCCTCATCTCTCTCTCTCTCTCTCTCTCTCTCTCTCTCTCGCTCCTCTCTCTCTCTCTCTCTCTCTCCTCCTCTTCTCTCTTCTCTCTCTCCTCTCTTCTCCCTCTTTCTCTCTCTCGCTCCTCTTCTTCCCTCCTCTCTCCTCTCCCTCCCTTCGTACCCTATTCTACCTTCTTTTTTCTCTCTACATGACTCATTCTTCCTTTCTTTCTCCTCTCTGTGCGTGACTTCCCAGCAAAGGCACATGCCAAGACATGGTTTCATGAATACATACAATACGCATTCAAGGAATGTTATTTACGAACGAGGTGTTTTACGACCAGGAATACACAATACAGGCATCATAACACGAGCTTTTTCGCCCATTCACACAAAATCTCCGAATAAGTTACGTTTACCTACAAACGCCTTGGCACCAAGCCACCACCAAACACCAAACACTAATGTTCATAAACCGAACGACTGTGGCCTTGCTTTCATGACGATTCAAAGACGGGACCACCTTAGAACCGACACGACAGGAAAGCTTTAGCACACGCACATTATGCGGGTCATATGGGATATAAAACGCGACGTCGCACTAGGTACGCACAGCTCTCACCGGTGTTAGGCATACATTTGTACAGTTCACTTAAAATACCTATGACAAAGTCACGCACGCGTAATGGCACCGCGATACTAGCCGTTCATAAGGCACTCGCAAACAAAGTCAGCAGCGACAACCACAACACAGACAGAAGGGGACCGGTCACGTTCGCCGCGCCCGACTGGCGTTTGTCAGTGCCCTCTTCCGGCGACGAGCTGTACTCGTAGTGCGGCATGAATCCGCCGCACGTTGGAAAGCCTCGTGGCGTTTTGGGCAGGTGTTCCCGCTCTCCAACGTGGAAGATAATTGCCATTCCAACCTCGGCGTGGAAGTTCATGTGACAGTGGAAAAGCCACCAGCCTGGAACAAAACGTCCATAGCATTCAACTCTTAACGTCTTCACGCTGCGTGCCGGTGCAAACACGAATACATTTATTGGCACTGGCGATCGCCGCGGCGCAAACAGCTACAGGCAGGAGTGTAACGCGGAACCGTTCGGACGGTAGGCTGCACAGTAAATACGCGCACGGGTCAGTGGGTGGTGCATTTTGTGATAAGCATGGGGAGACAAACTAGGTTATCAAATGACGGGCGCTGATAACCACGTTGGTTGACGCGCCGTGAAACTATACACACACACACACACGCACACACACACACACACACACACACACACACACACACACACACACACACACACACACACACACACACACACACACACACACACACACTATATATATATATATATATATAGGTTTTCAAAGGTAATCCATTGCTGTACAGGAAACCAACCGGATGGCAACGACCTGTGTTGGTGACTTCGCCTCTAGAACTACCATAAAGCTGCCACGAAGAACCGTACAGATTGGCAACACGTCATCATCCTGGAGTGTTCCAGTTTCACTCCATTTGACCCGTGACGAAGCGGATGATGCCGCATCAGAGGGGATCTACCGCCGACAGCCCCATCTGGTGTGAGCGAGGACGGATGCCTCCGGACTGACCCCCAATCCTCTCCTCCTCCTTCAACGTGATTGATTATCGCTCTCAATCTCTTTCAATCCTCTCTCAATGGCCCTCCCTCCGCCACGTACCCGGGTTGGTAGCGTGGAAACGGACGGCCGTGTACCCGCCGTCGGGTACGGTGACCGTGTCCTTGAGCGGTGCGCGGTGGAGGCGGCGCGGCACGAGGCCGGCCCGGTCCCGCTCCACCACCGCCTGGCGCGTCACCTGGCGACCCAGCCGCTCCATCGCCACCACGCGAAAGGCGTAGCCGTGCAGGTGCAGGGGATGGTTGGCGTCATAGGTGAACCCTGCCGGCGGAGGCGGTCAGACGAACTGGCTGGGGAAGGCGGTCAAATGAACTGGCTGGGGAAGGCGGTCAGATGAACTGGCTGGGGAAGGCGGTTAACTGAACTGGCTGGGGAAGGCGGTTAGATGAACTGGCTGGGGAAGGCGGTCAAATGAACTGGCTGGGGAAGGCGGTCAGATGAACTAGCTGGGGAAGGCGGTCAAATGAACTGGCTGGGGAAGGCGGTCAGATGAACTGGCTGGGGAAGGCGGTCAGATGAACTGGCTGGGAAGGCGGTCAGATGAACTAGCTGGGGAAGGCGGTCAGATGAACTGGCTGGGGAAGCGGTTAGATGAACTGGCTGGGAAGGCGGTTAGATGAACTGGCTGGGGAAGGCGGTCAGATGAACTGGCTGGGGAAGGCGGTCAGATGAACTGGCTGGGGAAGGCGGTTAGATGAACCGGCTGGGGAAGGCGGTCAGATGAACTGGCTGGGGAAGGCGGTCAGATGGACTGGCTGGGGAAGGCGGTCAGACGAACTGGCTGGGGAAGGCGGTCACGTGTACCAGCTGGGGGAGGGTCAGAAGCTTGACACTGACAAGGCAATAGTCACCGGGTGAACCCTGCTAAGTGAGGGGATCTACCCTGCTAAGTGAGGGCTAAGGGGAAGCAAAGATGAGCCCCTGGCGTGGTATACCGGGACATACCGAGGGACGGATCATTAGGGACCATTGGCGGCTTCGCAAGGCACCGGAAGCCATAATGCGTGAGAGGACAGCTCTGGGTGCGGGACCGAAGACCTGTGCACTCCATGTGCCCATGAATTACACAATAATTCACAGGAAGGAAACCAGATTCATTGTCAGTAGCGACCCGCGAAAGCTAGGTGGAACATGCAAAGCAACTGCACCACAGTGCAGATGTGGGAGATACCGCAATACCTTCAGTACGCCCGCTGAAAAACTGACGCGGCAAACTGCGGCAAGATTATGTAAATAGCCAACGATCCGCGTGAGTCATGACCAACATTACAACAATAAAACCTCCGTGATTACAATAACAGTGACAGAAATTACGCCTCCGTGATTGCAAAGTCAACGTACATCGATCCGCGATTGCGCGTAGTTACCAACAATCTGGATAATTCGTGATTACAACCACAACAATTACACGCCTGCGATAACAACTCAAGCAACAAAACTCACACCTCCGTGATTATAACGGCAAGTTACAACAATCTGCGATTGAGTGTGGTCACCAACAATCTACGTGGAGAGAGCTATTTGACCGTGATGAGTCTACGTACCAAGCCACGCCCACTACACAGGGCCCACTCGCTGCAGACCCTCAAGACCAAGCGCTCGCTGCAAACTTCGCCGCTGCGGATGTTCCCGAACGGCCGATGCTCACCCCGATCGATGAAGAACAGCTCGACCACGGCGCCCAGGGGGATGTTGAGCACGTGCGTGCACTCGCAGTACTCGCGCTGACAGTCGCCCGCCGTGCTCGAGTTACAGGTGGCGCTCAGATCGTCCGGCTGGCTTAAAGGTGGCGCCACCGGCAGCCGCAGCGAGATGTTGTTGAACTGCGGTGTCAGCATCTGCAGGTGGTGCTCCACTGCGGGATGAGGCGCCGGGTGACGGAGTTACGCTTTGTTTTGACACTACATGTCAGAATTTTCATCGGCTGGGGTTTGTGAGTGGTTTTACTAACAGGCAGAATGCCAGGATGTACAGCGCACAACATGACAAGCACGGCGTTATTAATTCTGCTGACTTGTCTTGATGTTTGATAACTTGACATTTTCTACTTGTGCACCATGGAGATACAAGAAAAACAATGAGGAGGGGGGAGCAATAAGGCCCGTGTGCACCATTTGTGCATCGAATCCCCGCGGCGCCCGCCTTTTCTGTCGGGGTGGGCGGCAGGTTATAATGGCAGGCAACGCCATTATAACCTCAACAGCCCCAGCCTCAGCCTCAGCCTCAGCAGCCTATATAACCTCAGCAGCTGAGCGCGTTGTAAAGCACCAACGACGACAAGTTATTGATGAATAGACTCATCTACCGGGCGACAATTCTACACACGAACTGCTAACCTCTCACAAGACTTCCTCCCTCCCCCGCGTGCGTCAGCTCTCACCGCTGAAAACGGAGTAATGCTCCTCGTCGTGGAAGTGCTTGTTGTCAACTTGGTTGAAGTCGTAGTCCAGGTAGAACTTGACGTCGGCGTGCTCAACCGACGTGACGTCATCCAGCGCCAGCGCCGTCAGCGCACTCACCGGCACCTTCTCCGGCGTCTGGTCCGCGTCGTTGAAGGGTGACACTTGCTGGAACGGCAGGAGAGGCGCACGTCTCAGGCGCGCGTCTCGAGCGCCGCCAGCCGCGGCGGTGCTGGGCTAATGAGGTGCACGCGTCTCGTTTAGCTCCTTGCGCTGAGGGGTGTCCCGAGATAAACAGCATGTAGATAAGACAGGTAGTATTTGCCTTATTCCTCGGAAAAATCAGGAGAATGGAGATATAAGTTAGGTTGATAATTCGGAAACACGCATTTATCGAAACAATACCTGATGCTTTTATGTCCGATAAAAACCAGGAATGTGGCAGCATTGTGCACTGCGAACATGCTGTGTTTTGAGGAGCGAGTGAATTTGTTGTGGTTGCTGTTGGAAACACAACACAGCGGTCGTAGCTCTCTAATCACCAGAGATGAAGCCAGAACCCCACGTACGAATCGAGCTACAAAGGAAAGGGTGAAGAGCTTGTCAAAGGGGAGTTGTCAGAACTATCAGGAGCATGCGTCATCACCTACGCGTGCTCAACACAACTCAACTCAACTCATCTAAGCTCAGCACAACCCACCATACGCGTAACTCAACGTACGCAATCCAAGTACTAAAACACAGGCAAGAGCTCCCTGCATTTCGCACATAGCACATCGTTTAACACCGCCAAACGATCTACAAAGCCTGCCCTTGATCGACTCAAACTTGTTGACCTAGCATTTACCACAGCTGTGCGTTCAATCTCAGCCACATGTATGTAAGAACCAAACCGTGACCTCGCGGCCCTCTGCGCCAGTTCAGCTCGGCGCCCGCGAGTCTATAAGGTCTTTTGCAACCCAGGACGGTCACGTGACCCAGCTCGTGCGCCGTCACCTGCTAGCGCGCGCGTGACGCCTGTGACCGGGCCAGCGATCACGGAGCCGCCATTGTGAGCACCGGCTTACAAAAGGGACACGTACCTCCCGCACGCTTTTGGGGGAAATGGCGGCACACGCGGCGCGGCGGTGGAGAAAAGTCGCGGCCACGTACCGAACTGAACAACACCGACGGTCAGAGATTTGAGCGTGAATAGACGTGCTGGATTACAAGGATTTGAGAATAAAAGACAGCAGCGAACTGTGCTTTTTGGCAGATGAGTTTGAGCTTCACACTGAACGACTTGAGCAATTTCCTGTCGTAGTGCCTGTCATTATAAGTAGTAACTACTTAAAAAATATGACGATGTGGTACTGCTCCTTCTGCACGCACTGGGACGCTGGAGGGTCATGGAGAGGTATTGATCGTGGCATTCTTCATGTCCCCGGCAACAAAGCGTACGTAAACCCCCATGCCCGGCAAGGGCAACTGCGGTGCAGAACACGCAATCCGCGCGCGCAAGAGACTGCCGGTTCAGAGGCCAGGGGTTCGCGCAGCACCCTCGCCAGCCTGACATTGTAGCACCCGACACGAGAGTTCTGCAGGGTAGCTGCGGCTCTGCGGCGGCTAACCCGCCATCAGCATAGGCGGATCCTGGGGGGGGCTGGGCACGGGGCCATGGCCTCCCCCCAAAACCTCTGAGAGTATGTATGTTTTGCCCCCCCCCAAAAAAAAACATTCCCAGAACTTCATAGAAGTTTCGTCTACTTACCGTCTGTTTTAACTTTAACTGTTTTAACTGTTTTAACCTCTGTTTAAGATTCAAAAGCATTTCGGTGCTTTTTCGGTTTTGAATGGTGTCCCTACTAGGTACTCGCGAGAGGCACCATGCACTGGACCTCGGATCCCACACCAGCCAGCTGGCGACGAACGGTTGCCCCCCCCCCCAAAAAAAACAACTGGCTCGATCCGCCCCTGGCTATCAGCAAGACACGCCTGATCCTGTGACGCAGCATGACAAGGATCGATCATCCGCCCAGAGGGTAGCTGATGCGGTGTGCGAGTCCGATGACTTGCAGTGTGTTCGTCGTAAATCGCCGCAATCTAATAGTAATCGCCGCCAATGATAACCGACGTGTGTTCGCCGAAGGGTAAATCGCCGAAATCTGCGCGGGTATTGCGGAGCGACAAACACACCGCTTATATCCTGACGCAAGAGCCGGCAGACAACGTATGCGTGCACTCCATACACGACGAGCAATGTGTGCCACAATCATCCTCGGATCAGAAGGGCTGAGTTGCTAATTACCAAACGTCGTCCACAAGTTGCAACCTATGACGTCAGAGGTAAGTGCGTCATGGCAGTTCCTACGGTTTGGAGAATAGTTGCTTGTGTATGACGTAAGCACTTGCGACGTCATAGGCAGCAACTCAGGTGGCTTCTTCGCCAATGGGGAACGCGGCCCTCGCAGCCAGCAGCGGAGCGAATCAGCGATCTGTAGTAGCCGCGCGCCCGCCTGATTGGTCCCTGCCATCCGCCGGGCACTGCTGACCTTGCCCGGGCGTTTGGTGGCCCAGTAGTCGATCTCCTGCTCGGGTACCACCTGCGGCGACCCCCTGTATCGCACCACCGCCACCTGGTGAGCGAGGCTGAAACGCTCGTCGCAGTCCATCAGGCCGCGGACCTTCAGCCAATAGACGCCCGGTGCTTGGTTGGCGTGCAGTATTACGTCATACCGCTCGCCGGCGTAGATGACGAGGGAGTCAGCTGGGGACGGTGACGTCACTGCGTCACTGATCCGCTGAGTGAGCGAGAGTCCCGGGCAGACAAGTGATCAGCGATGGACGGCTGCCAAGGCGCTGCACTGCCACAGTCATCGCGAAACAACAGTCACTTGATCATACAGCATTCGTTGGCCGTGACAAATGTCACGTGACGCGACGGGCCCACCTGCACATGGTGACACCGGACCACGACAGCCAGTGATGGCACAAACAGCAGAGGGAGAGACCGGAGGCCGCGACCCAGCTTGTAGCGCAAGGATTTCAGGCGGGCGCGCACAACCAACGAGTACGCTAACGCGCTTACACATTGCGACACTGCACGGTCTGCTAACTCCACCTGAACATTGCGACACCGCGCGTGTTGACAGCTGCCCGATGGAAGCGCCCTCACGCACCGTCATCACTCAGAGGTCAGCCAGGGGTCAGCCTCGCACGTGGAGCACGTGACCCGGCAGAAAACACACCACCGAAAGAACAGAGCTCGCGCCAGACATCCAACAATGGGTTCCCTTTGACGTGCTTTCGACGTGCGGCGGGAAGCAGAAGAAACAGAAGAGCCGGCAGCACGACAAAAACAAGCCTATCATGCAAAACCACCTTGAAGCTGCTTTAGGAATGTGCGCTATTGCATGGCATGCGATTCTACCCCAGCTGGTGGTTCTGTCGACGAATATGGCGCACGTCCGGGTCACTGTCAGCAACCGGTTTGTTTTTCGAAGGCACACCAAGCACAAGCTGATGATGATGAGGTGATGATGGGATGACTGTCCCTTGTGCATTCATCGCAGTCTCTGAAGGTTTGCGTGGCTGCATGACTAACGAACTCATCTGCGAACGCGAGAAAACCCGAGCTTTGAGCACTGAGTATGAAGCGGGGAAGTCTGGGCATTCCCTTCGCCACCTCTCGCAGTAACAACTGCACAAGTACAGGAGTCACGTGGAGAAAGCACAGCACATGGAGCGTGGCCCAGAATTCATTTGAAATGAGCCCAGTAGGGCATCTGACACGTCTCAGACAATCCTTGACTCACATCTGTGTGACTGTCGGGTGTAGATACGAGGCCCTACATAACGAGCACGCTTGCGCACATCGGACACCGCGCTCAGCCTGACCCGTCTATTTTCCGCTCGCCAGTGTTGGTTAATGATAGTGTAGTGGTTGAACTGCGCCCCTGATGGACCACAGGTGCGGCACTGGATTCCCCGCGGTTCCCCCTCTCCCTGCCAGGTCGAGAGGCTCGTGACGTCATGCAGCCTCAGCAGCTGAGTGCGCCGGAAATCCCGAATGGCCCAGCATGACCTGCAGTGTGCCGTTTGACCAGGGCACTGACCGCTTCGGGCAGCAGTCGGCCGGCCTGGCGGCGAACCGGCTCACTCTCCACGAGCTTCACGTACTCTTCGCGGGCTCCACTCGCTCTCCACGGGCTCCACTCAGTCTCCACGGGCTGCACTCGCCCTCTACAGGCTCCACTCGCTCTCCACCAGCTCCAATCACTCTCCACGGGCTTTACGCACTCTCCACGGGCTCCACTCGCTCTCCACAGGCTCCACTCACTCTCCACAGGCTCCACTCACTCTCTACAGGCTCCACTCCCTCTCCACAGGCTCCACTCACTCTCCACAGGCTGCACTCACTCTCCACAGGCTCCACTCGCTCTCTCACAGGCTCCACTCACTCTCCACAGGCTGCACTCACTCTCCACAGGCTCCACCCACTCTCCACAGGCTGCACTCACTCTCCACGGGCTCCACATCGCTGCCGTCCGAGGCGATCACGGTCAGGCGGTGGCCGTCCACGGACACCTCCAGCGGGCAGTTCATCACTCCGTTGCTAACCAGCCTCAGGCGGTGGCGCAGCCCCTGCGAAGGTCACGAGGTCACGGAGTGAAACGCAGCGCCTCGGCAGGCGGCGGCGAGCGCGCGCTTCGGCAGCGGGGAGGGGGGAGGGGAGGGAGGGGCAACACAGTCCGGACTTGTGTCACACTAAAAGTTCTGATCCTCAGTTCATGACAGACTTGAATACAGCATAAGTGAGTGCTAGGGAAGGAAGAGTGCAGCTAGAGTGACTGCAAGTGTTCGCCCCCCCCCCCCCAAAAAAAACACCGCCGGAGAAACGGTGCAAGCGTCAGACACTTGGTAAGTATTTACTCCGGCTTACTAACCGAAGGACAATACCATAACAGTAGGCTAACAATATGCGTGTTGGTATCACTGCTGCTGGTGCCTTCCGCCGAGAGGACTGTGCATAGGGAATATGAGAAGTTCCCGTGTCACTGTTTCTCACTTCCGCGACGACCTGCTCGGCGAGCAGTGAGTGTGTGGGTCGGCGTCACGTCGTCGTTGCTCACCTCCCAGATGATGTGTTCAGTGAGCAGTGTATGCATGTGTGAGCAGTTCTTGAATCGTTTCTTACCGCGTGGCCCAGTGTTCATATTCCCGTTTCTCACCTTTATTCAGTGTAGTCGATGAACGGCAAAGACGATGACACCGATAACGTACCGGTTAACGAATCTGCGTTACCCACCGCGCGTTTGAGAAACCAGAGATACAGGGTTCGATTCCCCGCGGTGTCCGCCCTTCCCGCTAGGGTGAGAGGCAGGCGACATCATAGAGCCTCAGCAGCCGAGTGTGTCGTTAAGACCCCCCCACCCGACGACGACAACAACAATGGGTAACGGCGCGTAACCGGCTGCTGCGTCTCCACTGCTCACCTTATCGACGACATACTCAGTGAGCGGCGTGTGGGAGCTGTTCCGGTGGTGACCGGCGGGTCGTCCCCGGCCGTTGATCAGAATCGTCTCCGGTTTGTTTGTTCCCAGCGCGTGGTGGTGAGAGACAAACCTGTCACATCGTGAACAAAAGTGAGCACAGGTTTCCAATGGTCATCATGCATGCGCTAACGCGATGAGTGGTTCATATCTCAAGTGAGAATATGCTCCGTGATGAATGAACTCCACTGTGGGCAGCTCAGCACACATGGCCTCTCCAACTTTCCTTGAAGTCCATCAATATTTTCCACATGGCTCATGAACATAATGGGTTTGTAAATCGCTGTAAGCAATCCACTCCCTGAATCCTGAAGGCACCACCTGAATACACATACATTAACCGATGCAATAAATCGCATCACCTAGGAAGAGCGGTGATGCAACTAGCTACTCTTCCCCGGCGGCGTGGTGTGAGCACCCGCCTAGCGCTGACACCTGGCCGACAGACATATAAGGACAGTAGCTCGACGAAGCCTATTAATAATTCCAGGGCTCTGTGTGCGCCGGGCTTGGAAGGTCGGCCAAGGTCACTCGCATGCGGTATTGCGTGTCGGCTTTCAGGTGGAGGCCGGAATGTCAGTACTGCTCCGTAGTCGGCCAGGGATCGACTGAAGTGTCGACCGAGCCGGCAGTTGACTTCCAAACGCGCATCTGATTTTACTGCGCATGCGTGACCGTCGCATCGTCCATGGCAGAACTTCTAGGAAGAGTGCGCGATGCGTCTGGTTCTTCTTTGCGTGACTGCAAACCGTGTATCAGAAAACATGCATCACCACAGACGCTCAGCCGTCGTAGTGCCTGGCCATGGGCCAGCTCCAGTCAGACCGACAGCTGGCGCCCGCCGTCACTGGTCGTTCCGTTCGCCTTCCAACCACACCCGGTTACATACCTCTCCACGGCCAGCTCCTTGAGCCAGTCAGAGAGAAGGATCTTGTGCTCCGGCAGGTCCGTGTCGAAAAGCGCGCCGTGCAGGTCCAGCTCGCGGGGCATGCGGATGGTCAGCGCGCCGTACGCCCCGTCCGACCTCTGGAAACCTGTCGACGCCGCCAAACGCGGGCTCAGGCCACGGCCGTGGAGACAGGCTCACACAACCACGACGGAGGTGTGAGCCGTTCGATGACGGACACCATGGCACGGGTGTGAGCCGTTCGACGACGGACACCACGGCAGAGGTGTGGGCCGTTCGGTGACGTACACCACGGCAGAGGTGTGAGCCGTTCAATGACGGACACTACGGCAGAGGTGTGAACCGTTCCATGACAGACACCAAGGCAGAGGTGGGAGTCAAAGACAGGCATAGGTGATTTCCTGGACGGTAGGGCAACCGTTTCAGTGAGGACCCACCAACCTATCCACGCTAACCTAAACCATCCCGCCTGATCCCACCACTTACAAAAGCTTTGTGCACGCAACTGAGTTATCGACTCTCCGCAACGCATGAACGCCCCGACTCTACAGCACCTTATTCCCGGGTCAACACCCTCTCTCGCACCTGAGTTTGAGTATCTCTAGTCCGAGTGCGAGTACCAGAGCTCTCTCTCTCTCTCTCTCTCTCTCTCTCTCTCTCTCTCTCCTCTCCTCTCTCCTCTCTCTCCTCTCTCTACTCTGCTCTCTCTCTCTCTCCTCTCTGTCCTCCTCTCCTCTCTCTCTCTCTCTCTATCTCTCTCTCTCTCTCTCCTCTCTTCTTCTTTCTCTCTCTCTCTCTCTCTCTCTCTCCTCTCTCTCTATCTCTCTCTCTCTCTCTCTCTCTCTCTCTCTCTCTCTCTCTCTCTCTCTCTCTCTCTCTCTCTCTCCTCTCTATATCTCTTCTCTCTCTCTTTTCTTCACTGGAGTGTTGAAGTACCAGAGCTCTCTCTCTCACCGGAGTGTGAGTACCAGAGCCCTCTCTCACCGGAGTGGGAGTGCCAGAAGTGGGTTCCGGGGTTTTCGGCACGGAAGGTGTATCGGAACACGGTGCCCGGCAACTGGGGGCACTGAGTCACGTGTGGCACCCCGTCCATGAACTGACTGCCTCGCTGATGCAAGCCATGCCAGTGGATGCTGGAAGTGTCACTGCCCAGGTGGTTCTCCAGGTCCACCACCACCGTGTCCTCATGACACACCTGAGAGAGAGAAACACATCGTTCAGAGCACGAGAGGAGCACTTGAGGAGCAGCTTGTTCCCCTGAGGACCAAGAGCACGAGAGAATCATCAAGTGTCCGCCGAGGTACAGATCGACAAAGAATATGGCTGACTGATATCTTTCTCACTGGAATCGCCAGGTGCCTTATAATTGACGATGACATGGTTTCAGTTCTATCTCACCCCCATACCCGGGCCAAGCATCCCACGGTAGCCAATCCTCACTCCTCACTTCTATGCAGTCCTCACTCCTCACCTCTATAGGGGGACCGGGCATCTGACGGTTGACGGTGACCAGTCCTCGCCGCCGACCGTCAGCCGCCACGCAGTGAGGACGCTGACAGTCCGTACTGTTTCCGGGACAGCCGAAACATGCCTGTGGAACCACGAACGGGGTGTTTTTTGTGACACTAGTCATGCGTTAGAGCCGTGGAGACTGTTTCTGAGGCACGTGAATGTTGGTTCGGAAACGAGACAAGAAGTCTAGTGATACTGCTAACCGTGTTTACGTAGCATATTGGGAGGGTTGCCAGAATGACTCAAAATTTCGGCAAAGTAGGCTTACGCACTGACCAGCGTAAGCGTGCCTTTGTTTGTATGATCTAAAGGCGCCAAAGCGGCGGGTGCCATAGCACCACCACTCTCTTAGGATGCTGAGCATTAACCTCGTGGTGACCTCGCATGGAAAGAAATGACGTTAAAATTGGTGTCGGAACCCTTGCTTTCTGAGACACTCCTCCACCTATGGGACGATACGTTCATAAACGCAAAGTTTCGTCTCACCTACATCCTTTGTGGATGTTTCAGCTTAGCAACGCCTTATAACAACACTTCAGCTCGTTAGCGATACCCGCAATTGGATAAAAGGACAGAAATGGCGCAGGCATGCCTCTGCGCCGCGCGGGTGCCGCAAGGTTCGAGGTTCGAAAACGCCGCGTCTGCACGCTCCATGACTGCGCGTCCGCGGCAACCAATCAACGTTCAGTTGAAGGGTGTGTTCCGTATTTGAAAATATTGAAGCAAGCATCAGCTATGATCAGCAGCTTTGCAAATTTCACTCGTAACTTTCGGTGTGGTTTTGAGTTGAAAAACTCCTGTAGACAACCAGATTTCACCATGGCTAGTGCATTTGGTTCCCAATATGCCACCGTTTGATTACGTCGAGGAGCGATTTTACGTCAAAGTCGATGCCAGACTGGCCGTCTCTGAATTGCAACTGTAGCGGACGGGCTGACTTACTTACAGTATTTCAAGTTGCCGACAGGTGTCTTGTAAGTGGTGCGTGTTTACTGAACCCGGATTTCGTGATGTGCGCTTATGGTGGCCCTTTCTTGTCACATGCGTGCATATTTGTCCGTCATTCTATATTTATATTCGCATTGACATATTCGGCCACGGTGCGATTCTTAAGTTATTCAATTTCCAGTCTCATTTCCATTACAACTGCCCAAATTCCTACACCATGTGACACAGAAAGTGAGTCGAGTTCAAAACATTCCCGCACCACATTTAACTGGCTAAAGACCAACTGCTGTCCATTGATGCTCCGAATCTTGCTGACGTACGCCACACACGAATAATGCGACGATCTCTTTTTTCTTGACCTTGAGCACTACGTGGCCATTGAGATGGCGGTGTTTGTGTAATATTTCAATGACGCCATGCATATCTGAATCACTTTTAAACAGGCTGTGCGAAATAATTTGAACCTATTCGCCAGCGTGAAGATCAGAAACAAGTCGGTTTGAAGTCTTAAAGATCGGGACTACCTCACCAAGCCCACACCCTTGGGAAAGTCTTCCGCATGCCAATGCTTTTCGGAACAACATGCTCAAAGGTACTGCCAGGACGTCAGCAGACTCACGAGGAAGCTGGGGTAGGATCGTCTGGTCCAGGGGCGCTAGATGGCTTCAGTGATATCAATTTATTTGCAACCACCTGAGTAGAAATGTCCACATCTTCTAGAAACGGTCCTTGAAAATTACAAGGCATCACAGGCACAGGGGAAGTCCCTTCGTCGGTGAAAACGCTGGCAGAGAATTTGCAGAAAATACCGGCCTTTCCTTCGCTGCTGCTGGTCAGCGCTCCATCATCATCGAGAAGGTCTTCAGTCCTACATCTCGCACACTGGCTTCAGTTGGCGTCCCTCCAAGAGGCCTACGGTTTTTAGGCCAGGCGTACCTCCAAAAGACCCAGGTTAGGCTCGGCGTAACCCCGAAGACTACTTTCGTTTCAAACTCTTCCCGAAGGATTCCGGTTGGCTTCCTTAAGTCATTGCGACACCACACACCGCACTTGGCCCTTACACAGTGTTCAACTTTACCCAGGAATCAAATGCGCGACAACACCGCCTTAGTCTTGTTTCTCACTTCTAATATCGGCATCGCACAGGCAGTTAACATGCACAAACTTTGTGATGTCAAAAACCTAAGAGCCACAAAAATTTTCAGGATTGGAACCAGAGACTGCTTTTCAAAGGGAGTTGGCTTCAAGTCTGGCCCGGCCACCCCAGATCACGAAAAAATATATACACATATTCACTCACACATTTACCTCATTTATTCCTGACACGATGTCTGGCACCTACACACCAGCAATGACAATTCCATTTCAACGTGAAGCGGTCCTGTTGACAGGCCACTCTAGACGTGAGGTAAAGCTTTGAATGTGTTTTAATTGGGGAGCAGCATGGCTACGTGCGAGCAATTTCAAGCCATTTCCAGCCTCATCCACAACAGAACTCTCCTGATGCGTTCATCGGCTCTCCACCTATGTCACAGATACGACAGATAAATGTATGATTGTTAACAGATAAAAGATGTGTTGTCAATGAATTTTAACGTCAATGATGCACTACAGCTGAACGATTATTAAGTCTTCCTTGCGCTGGTATTCTTTCTTATGTTTTTTTTTTTGGTAACTTTTTGCAAATGCTCTTGAGTGTGAAGCAAATGAGAAGGGTGTAAGTGCACACCTTTCCGAATGCGGTTACGCTGCGTTACTAAATTTAACACCTCTAGCACAACTTAATTCTCAATGATATAGTAAAAGTTGTTCCGAAATATATTCAGACGTATTTGATCACAACTGACACAGGACATCTTCAGCAACAAAACTGCGATAAATTATTACTGCGTTAGGTTCACGTCATACTTTGATGCCATTTCAACTTTTGCCTAACATCCTCGGCACTCTGGCAACCGTTTATTATCCCATCAACAAGACTAATGCTGCGAACTTGCCTAAACTACGGCCCAAAAACGCCAAGATTTACCCTCATCGATGAGCCAGCCGTCATTTACGCGGCCACGGGAGCTATCCGGGGGTGGGGTGGGGGGGGGGGGGGGGGCAAGGGCGCTCCGTCACGCTCGCCAGCTGACGGTAGCTGCCTGCTCTAGAAACCCAGTGTGACGGTGCGCGCGAGGATGCCGGGCGGCTGGCTGATGAGCATCACCGTCTGTGTAGTATATGTGACGTAGGAAGTTGAAGGTACCGACCAGGCGGGCTGGGGTTTCGGGGAAAAACGTCTGAACCGCGGCGCGGTGTGAACCATTTTTTAACTGGAAGATGGCTGCGCAGTGGGAGTTTCGTTATGTGGTCACCTACCGCGTCACAACCTGTTGGGCAACAGGTCGCAACCTGGTCGCGACCTGTTGCGTCACGACCCGTCGGGTTCAGTGCAATGTAAGCACCAATAACAGCGCTTTATCTCCGTTGATTTCGGATTATTCCCGGTTCGTCGAATTTAGTCGTCTGAGCTTGTCTATACCTGGAACATACGAACGCTGCTTGCTGTACCGTCCGTGTTTTGGGATTGCGCGCAATCCCAATCACCTCCGTGATTGCGGACGATAACCTGTCGCACATCGAATGAACTGTCCTTTAAAAGGGCGCACAGTTCCCTCGAGTCTGGTGCTGACTGTCCGAGGGCGAGCCACTGCGCAGCAGCACTGTAAACCGGTTTCAGAAGCTTCAGGCATTGTCCCGTGTCTCATCTGTATGTGCTCGGAGAGAAGTCCCCCGGGCCACACAAACAGCCGATCCTTCGATCGTGCCTGAGAGACGCTTTGGCACACGTCTGCGAACTTTGTTCGTGCTCTGCGGCTGGCAACAGGCTGGCAACGCTCTGTTCGCTCACTCACCGAGCAACAACCACAGCATTCGCGGAGGCGCACTTGCTCGCCTTTGATTTTGGAATGCCGCCACTTGAGATGTGCAGCGGAGGTGAAGGTCACGGGACCAAGGTCATGCATCGCCGCCGCGGCGCTGCTGTTCCGACTCGTGCGTGACACGAATCAAAGCCACACAAACAAAGCCGCGTGTTGAGTTGGGACACTTTTGGGTTGCGCACACATCGTAGGGCTTTCCTTGATGTTATGGGATATAAATATTCATATCCAGCTTGAAAACCGTTTCTGGGTTGAGAAATCAGGGACCAAATATGGCTCCATATTTATTTATGGCTCCATGTTGTGGCTCCATTATACCATTATCAAAAGCGAAACTACAGCTTGCGCTTTTCTAATCCGCGGACGAAGGACTTTGAAATTTCGCCTACTTTTCTAATTCGTCAGTAGATCGGGTAACATCTTCAGGAAAATCTGACACACAACTTAAACGCATGCCTGAAAAGAGCACAAGATAAAACCATTCTGTGCGAAACTCACCAAAATCAACAGATTTTTTTCGCTTTTTGCATTGTGCTCCGGACAGAAGCGTCATCGCGAGTGCTCTCCCTTTAAGATTTATTCGCCCCGTCCCCAGCTCCAAAGACGCCCTCACCTTCGACAGAGTGTAATAGTACTCCATGCTGAAGTGGTAGTAGCACGTCTTCGGCTTCTCGAAGCGGCTGCACGTGCGCTGACACGGGTGTCGTCCGCTGGTGGTGTTCAGGGTCACAAAATGGGCCGGAACCACTATGGTGCTGGCGGCGGCATCTGAAACGCCGACACGACAGCACTGTAAACAGAATGTCCCGCGTCCCACCGACTGACCAGAGTCACGCGGCTGGCTCTCAGCTGCGATACGAGGAGACGTGTTCCGGTTCACGCTGTGAAAGTCCTCGGCGAACAAGATCACGTGACAGCTGCACAGCTGATAAAACGCTAGGCGCTGTTCAGGTGCTTTAAAAGGCTGAGGTGTAGCGGAAAGAAATTAACGGCTCACAGGCAGAGAATAACAAAGTCGGAGTTAACGGTCACACAAAGCATACAGAAGCTCTGAACCTGGCACTGATTTACTCTATTGTCCCTGGGGAATCCTAAATAGTCGGCAACTTTCATTTAAGCCTGTGCACCTGTCCCAGAGTGCTTTATCGCTTACTCTCCCCCTTACCATAGTCACCGAGATAGGCGACAAAGTTATCTGTTCGACGCATACATCTACAGTTTATGCGGAATTGGAGAGAGCAAATGAGGGAAAAGAGGTAAACGAAGCGAATGAAGACAAAATGGAGAAAGGACGGCGACAATAAGGAGAATTTTATGCTTTGATAGCAAGC